ATTTTCGATATTAGACTCTTCAGTCAATGCTGCTTTAAAAATTTGCAACATATCTTGAGGGATTTCCCTCTCAAGCTTCTGAAGAAATTGAGTATCGTTTCTGTTTAACTCTGTTTTTTGTTGAGGAGCTTGCTTCTAAATTCTAACATTGTAAAGTCGTTTTTATAAATTATATAATCACGTTGCTATCCTATAATGATAGCATATTAGGAGTTCTTGGTGCAAAAGCCAGCGAAAAAATGTTCTATTCAAATTTTTATGATTATATTTAATTAGTTTTCGATTTGTAAACATAGTTTATTAAGTTGCCTAACATTTGATGTAACTACACCCCCCATTAATAAATATAAATTATAATGTTTTCATAAATTTAGCTATTAAATTAACATTTTGAACTGAAATTATTTCAGGAATTATTCATACAATTTTTAACAAAATTTCGGTTGTCATCTATATAGCAGAATTACTTATCATGTCATATCTATATAGCAAAATTACTGTCATGTAAAATCATATTTCAAACATTACTGTTATTCCCAGTGAAGGAACATGCCTGTTACAAGTGAAAATTTTCACCGTCAGTAAATTTGGCAGAAAGCTATGCTCCTTTATCCAAATAAACTGTAAATGCACTTTCTGTGCACTTAAAATCGTTGTATCTTCTTATTTACTGAAAAAGAGCTAATGTAGATTTTAAAATATTTAATTATTCATGCAACGAATACAGTTTCCTAGAAGAAATATGAAGCTAGCACTTTCAGAACAGACAACAAAATTTTTAAAGTTGATATGAAAGAAATGAACTGTAATTAATGCAAATAATTAAGAAAAGTTTACTTACCTTCAAAAGAAATTGACAATTTCAAAGACAACTTGTATGACATGATTGCAAGCTTCAACAACAAAATCGTCCATCTTGTCAACAGCTACAAAATAAGTTGTCGGTCACGTGCCTGTCACAGTACGAAAGTTTGGTGCAATCGATTGCGCCATAAACGCATTTCTTGATCATATTTTCCAATTTATAGTGCAACCTAGATAAAATATTTTTTTTATTTATCCAATTTATGGTGCAATTGGAAACTTTGCACCAAGTATTGGATAAACATTAACTGAGATTTTTTACAGTGTAGATCATGTATATTATTTTATTGCATAACCGTCGTTGAACAGCCGACCCAATTTTTTGTTTACTACTACCAATGTTGAACTCTGTAGCCTTGTAATTTTGAACCTAATCCAGAAGACAAGGGAACT